TCACTGGTGAGTCCTCTTACTGCCCCTGCACCTCTGACCTATACCCCAGTTCTGGATGCATAAATAAATAAATCTTTAAAAAAAAAAATCTTCTCCTATGGGCAGTGGGAACACAGAGATTTTAGAGAAAACCCACCATGTGGTTTAGAAAATTCACTAAGGAGAGGAGGAAGGTGGCCAGATGGAGACGAAGCTGGTAGAGAGAAGTGAGGCAACACCCCAGGGTAGCAGAGGGAGGGGCCGTCTGAGAATCCAGGGGTTCAAGACTGGCAGAGCTGACAGAAATGCTCCTTTCTCTCTTAGCTCCACTCCTCTCCCAGGGCCACACACAGACCCATTCCCCCTTTCATTTTCTTACCTTTAAGGGTCAAAGGCAACCCCAGGAATCCAGCTCACATTTGCATCCTGGCCTCCTCTTGTTCTTCTCATCCAAACACCTTACTTTTAATTTCTTGCTGCTGTAAATTTTTGCCCATAAAGCAGCTTGTATTCAAACAAGTCGCCACCTTGTTTCTGAACCCTCTCCCAGGGTGCTGCCCTCCACTTCCCTAGAAGCCGGGGGCATCTCCTCTCAAGGGCCAGAGGTCTGCAAGAGTATTTGAGCAGTTAACATTCCCACATAGGAAATTAGTCCACCTGGATGTGGTAGAACTGAGATGTTTGAAGTAAAGACGTAGTAATTAAGAAACACGAGGTATTTTTAGCAGAACTGCCATCATGGGATGGCTGCTTTGTAACAGTTATTTGTGGCACTCTGAAGCAAGAAATGAACTTTTTTTGCACAGAAGAACTGGGGTGTAGGCCAGAGGTGTAGGGGGTAAGAGGATTCACCAGTGTAGGGAGCAGAACAGGCACTGCTGAGATGCACTGCTGAGCGGAGCTGTAGGTGAGACTACAGAGGTCTATTGTGCCTTGTGGGTCACCTCCCTGGCCGGGGTTCGAACTCAGACTATAGATAGCAGTGATAGGCACTGAGACTTAACCTCCAGGCCACCAGGGAGCCTTGAAATCACTTTTGACACACACAAGATTTCTTATGAATCCTTCTTTGATATGGAACCATAATAGAACACGCTGGGTCAACTGGGGAGATTGTGGGGGAGAAGCAGCGATAGCTCTGGCTTTGCTTTCGGGATCAAGGGTTGGCAACGGCCATAACTGTGGCTTTCCCAGGCACACCTGACAGCGGACCTCACCAGGTGGAGGCAAAGTGCTGCTCTACTCTGAGCTCTTTTCCACTCACTTTTGGAGCTGATACTGCAGCACGTCCAGTAAAAGCTGGGGCATCAGGATCATGGCGAACCTGACGGTCACACTTCTGTAGCTTGTGAAAAGATCCTTTGCATTGTCTCAATCCCTACAAACCAGTGAGAAACCAAGGTGTGGTCCTGAGTCTTCATGAATGGGGCCCTCTTTGAGGGCCTCTTGGGAGACTTAGAACCTCAGGAAAGTCCAAGCACAAGACTGAAATTAAAACCCTTAACTTGGGGCCCTCCCTGGTGGCGCAGTGGGTTAAAGCACAGCACTGAGAATCTAAAGCCGCTTCCGCATGAGTTCGATTCCCGCCTGCTCCGGAGGTGACCACATGGCGTGGCTGACCTCTCCTGACCCTCCCGCTGCTCCCCT